AATTTTATATTAAATATAAATTTTACATTAAAACTCATATATTTCATTTTTATATAATATTAAGGTCTCGACTTCTTTTCTATTTGATAAGATTGGTTTTAGTTTAAATATAGATTTTGTATTAAAATTTCACATGCCTAATTTTTATATTTTTTTTACCTTTAGTTCTCTCGCCCTTTCCTCTCTCTTTGATCTAGATTCTCTTTGTATCTTTCTTCTTAAACCTTTTGCCTTTCGAAAATTAGAAAATTAAGCAGGTGGGTTTTAATATAAAATTTATATTTAATTCAAAATTAATTGACAATAAATAAAGTAACTCTTTTTATATTTAACACATAAATTTTTTATTTATATTCTCAATATAAGATTTTTCTCGTTCAACACATTCTCTCATGTGTAATCTTGTTACATGACTTAATACATTTCCTTACAAGTAAATCTAGTATGAATTTTGAATTATGTGAGAAAGGCATAGACCTAAACTTTGATAGTATGTGAAAATTGATACATTGAATAAAAAAATCTCATATCAAGAATATAACAAAAAAAATATGTAGATTAAATACGATCAATTAGTTTTATGTTGAATGTAATTATTGTGTTGAAATTACTCACATATTCAATTTTTATATGATATCAAAATCTAGCCTCATTAACTATGGTTGCTTACATAGAGAATTATAATTGAGTTTTTCTAGTATGTACATACACAAATTAAAGATGTAATTAATATACTTTTTGAAAGCGAACAATAGGGCTGCTGATGCGCTGGCAGAAAAGGGGGTTTTAGCTCCTCATGGCTTGAATATTCTGTATGTATGTCCACTGGAGGTGGATCTTTTGTGCACTGCTGACTATGTAGGGGTTAGCTATATACCCTAGATTTTAAGTTTGTTTAATGATACTCTATTTCTTTAAAAAAATTAATATATTTTTTAATCTTTAGTTTACATAAAAAAATAAAAATTAATATTAATTTTAATACTAGTACCACATATGATTTTGATTGATTGGTTGATAAATTA